AAAGAAACCTTTAGAGGAGAGGAAATTCTAATCTGCGTTCGACTACACTAAGATCAACATCTCAATGTGTCCTTTCTGAGAACAACGGTTCTATCCTAGGTAATCTTGTCGTATTAATCGTGGCCAAATGCAGAAGTACGCGAATTGTACGTGGTATATAACACTAAAAGCTAAGCTAGAATAATAATAATAATAGCAATGCATGCGATAGACAGTGGACATAAGGTTGATTTCGACAATGTCAAAATTCTTGGAAGAGGATTTCATTCAACACATAAAGAAAGATTGACTTTTGAAGCCTTACACATTTTAACCACATCAAATACAGTGAATAGAAAAGAAAGGATAGACCTATATGATAACCTATATGGCAAACTCTTATGAAGCAAGACAGATGAAAAAACAACAAACGCTCTATGAGCCTCCATGACCTTTTTAAAACATGTAATAACATGCTTATCGAATATGAATTCACGTATTTTTCATATGACAAATAACATACACTCCCACACACACTCATACAAAACTAATCTTTACAAATCAACTATTGAAGAGTGAACACAACAACAATTTGATACTAGGTATTACAAACATATGATTGATAACTGCTTAATATTTCTATTGGTTATATAATGTCCATGGACAAATGACCTTCAAATAAACTGACTTCAATTTATGTAAAAATAGATTTTTGACTATATATTTTGATGATCAATAAAAATAAGAATAAATCTGCTGAAGAAGCTGTGGCAGCTTACACGGCGAAACGTTCAGAAAACAGATCTTGTTTTGATTATTTTCTTAAACACGCTGAGATTAATTTAAATAATTTATAATGAATCAATCTGACTTGGCGCTCAAGTTGTTCCAGGAAGTTCGTAACACCTACAGTCTAGAAACTTATAATAGTCACTTTATTTCGAACAGTCACTTTTATGTACAGAATGGAATTTTCAGCATTGTACCTACCTACCTACACTACAACAATTTAGCGTAATGCTCTTCAGGCATCTTCCACTACGGTTGAGTAAAGGTGTAGTTATAACCATTAACAGTTCGATATTAGACCATCTGGTCCGGCTGGCCGGCCACGAAGCCAGCGTTGAAGAATCCTTCTCTATCATCATCTACCGGGTGCCTAATAAATTGCCAAAAACATCGAAGTACCGCATGCTGAAAAACAGCAGAGGCTATTGCAATTCACCTCAAACAACCAGTGCCCTGTGTGCAAAAGAAGCAAGTCCAGCCACCCACTACTACTGTCCTGGTCGGCCTTCAGTAGAGACTATAAATTCATGAATTTGTAATATTATCTTTCCTAATGTTTCTGACATTCAGCTTATTTTATGTTGAAGCTATTTAGCTGTAATCTATCAATATTACTGATTCGATGTTATTTAAACAACAACATTAATGTTGTTCACAACACTTATTCATTCATTCATTCACTATAATGTATATATAACTGTAAAGCCTGATGATGAAGGGGTTATCGAAAAGAGAACTCTTTGTTCAGTATCCATTCTTTAATAAATAATACTTTTGTGTTTACACCAACCTAATCGTTATTATTCCATCATCACTATCATTATTGGTATTGTTATTTACCAACCTTGAACTTACACGTCTAGCCTATCCTGCTTGTTGGTTTATTCCTCCGTAGCAGTAATAGTAGTATTGCTTTTATCTCTCACACTATGAGATACACTCAACCCTGAAACCTGTAATTTTGTTGACTAAATTGCATACACACACATTACTAAATTATTTCATTTAATTTGACCTGATGTTTTCTTATGAACCATATATATTTTAATTAAAAACAAACTATATTGTTTTCAGCTTAGCCAACGCGTGTTAGTGAACATCTTCCATCGTGGTGGTTTGGCAAAGGACAGACAAAAACAATCCGTGGCTCAATTTTCTGACATTTAATTGATAGTGGTCATGTAGTGGGGAAAACGAGAGCCGTCAAAGTAATGCAACGTATCCCACCGAATCTTTCCAATAGACTTCGTATTCGTCTACTGCACACATGCACGACTGAGGCGATCGGCCGTCGAACTATTAAACCTAAACTATGCATTCAAAAAAAGTTCGTACAGCCATTATCCCTCCCTTGTTGACCTATTAAGACATAAACAACTAATGACTTCTACACTACCCCTTTCTTATCATCCCTTAATCTTAACACAGCTTCATTAAAAACGTATTTCACTTACTTCCCTTACAATCTAGCATTACTTAATCGGTTCATTTGTTTTTACTAGCCTTTACCGACTACTATTTCCACCTGAACATTTGTTTGTTTAATCATGCTGTTTTTTCATTATTCGTGTTACCACAGATTGCCTCACTTTTTCATCCTTATTATTGATAAGACCATTATTATTGCTATTACTATCATCACTATTATTATTGTCATTACCACTATTATGACTAATTGCACAATTTATATTCGCCATCTTATTATCCTATAGACGAAACATCATGATTGGTTTATATTTGAATTTTTATTTATAAAGTTATGTAAGCATATTAGAGTTAAGCCTGGTGAGATCTAATTGAAAACGGCATTATTGTTCTCTTAAATGTGTTGTCCTAAATTTTACTATGGGAGTATTTAATATATTTAAAACGAACTGATTGTTATTCATTTTTGTCCTTTTACTACACAATACACTTTCCAACACATAATTCTAGTTTGCCTTTACTGATTCCATTGTTGATACGATTCATCTTATAACTCATCATCATGTGATTGGATGACTGCGAAATTTCATCATCTTTTTTTCTCACCTTCGTATTGGTCAAATCACCAGCAACCAATCAGAATGTTCATTTTTCCGCCTACCTTAGCCGAATAGCCTATCAATTGGAAGAATCGATTTCCACTGCCCTAAGCTTATTTTAATGTGGTTAATATGATTAGAAATGCTCATTAAAATGTCTTCAAAATAATGGTTACTATTGAACAAAGAATATTCACATTTTCGATAACCTGCTCTTCATCCGGTTCTACAGTTCTATATTCATTCATAATAGTAAATAAATAAATTAATGTTATGTGCGTCGGTGGCACAGCAGTTAGGACGCTCGCCGACCATACACATGGTCCGGGGTTCGATCCCCGGCCGACGCACTCCTTTACCTCGCCAAGCCAGCAATAATGCTGGTAAAGAGTAAAGGTTGGGCTTGAGGCTAACAACCCTATCCTGTACAATTAAACACTGCTAAAGAAACTTCAAGCCACTAGCTTGAAGCCCTATGTTCCACTGGGAACGCGAAGGAAAAAAATAACATCAATTCAATGATGTTCTATAGCATCAACACAACACTACACTGAATTAATATCAGAAAAATTAGGAAAGACAATAATACACATTCATCAATTTAAAGTCTCCACTGAAGGCTGGCCCCGAGCAGTAGTATTGGCTGGTTAGACCTGTTTCTTCTGCACACTGAAACACTGATAACATAATTAAGAAAGAATTTAAGGCATTTACTGTTATACCATATGAGGAGGGGACATCTGAGAACCTACCCTCGTAGGATTCTCAATAGTGCAGGAATTAGAGTGGTGGCATTCAAACCCTTCTAAAAACTCACTCAAGCATTGTAGGCTAAAGGACTCTGTCGGTTGACCCAATTAGACAAAATACTCTGCAATGACTGAGTGAGGTCAACTACATAGGTCAAACTAGTAGATAAGGGGTAGTCAGATTGTCGGAACATAAGAATTTAGCCAAGGCAAGAATGGTTGACCCCGAGAAGATAAGTAATTTAGAAATAGGCTCAGCACTACATCGCACTGCATGCATTAACACACAATCACACAATAGGGTGGGAAAAGGTTGAAATTATAAGACGTAATCTATGTAGGTGGAGGGTGAGAGAGATTGATCACTGAATCCTGGTTCGTCGAGTCCACACACCCAACACATGCAATGGAAATGACTCATCACTCATACTGGAAATATGGAAAATACTACTACCAATCAAATCAATGAAAAATAATGGAATTATGTAGATGAAGTTAGACAGTTGTGTGAGTAGTGCCTTGATATGATTATGAGCAATAAATTGTGCTCGGAACGTGGTCATCAGTAAACATTACTGTATAACACACTGTGAGACTTTATCAGAACAAAACAAATTTTACCCATAAAGAAGTCTCGCTCCCAATGTTTGAAGCTAGTGCTGACCACGAACAAATGGTTATCTGAAGAGAACTGTAAAAGACGATCACTGTTATTAAGTTGTCCGCATAATACTCTATACAGATGCCGTCAGTATATTACTTCTCTGACTGACACAACTTCTCCACTTGATAAGTGAATTTACCAGAAAGGACGACTATACCAGAGCGATGAGCTTGTAGCAGCAACATACCAGAGAGCTTTATTTTGTTCGAAATGCAGTATGTTTAGGCGTAGGCGGAGATTATGAAAAGACATCAACATCTAACGGATCCATTCATCCGGATAGCACAACACATACGAACGACTATCCACACTAAGATCCAATCAAGTAGGAATTAGTCTGTCCTGCGACTCAATGTTATCCATACATCTGCGAGTCCCCACGATCTAGCCGAAAGGTCACCTGACATCAGAGTGAGGTGAATTTTGTAGATCCATCCTTCCTGCTAGGTGGGGTTAAAACAATAACCACAAGGGTTTTGTATGAGTATCTCCGGAGTACAATATACATCCATGGAGTGAAATGCCCGAGTTTTGTCTAGTAAAGCTTGTTGTTTTGTAGCGTCTTTTTCGCCTCATGTCGCTATTAATGATCGCATAATGAACAGGTCTGTGCAACCTACCTGTGGAATGACATTAACACTTGGGAAGAAAGCAAAAGGATGGAAGTTTCGTGTGCTTATAGGAGTATGTTCGTGAGCAGTTGCTGCCACTAGGTTGCCCACACCGTGTAGTAGAAGATGAAGATATCACAATGAAATTAAATTTTTTAAAAAAACGATTATTAATACGACTTACTTTTTCAGCTCGATAACTGCGAGTGATGCAATAACAGTCGCCTACTGCAGGTATACATGTTTCTAAATACAACTGTGACGATTGAGACATATATGCAGTTTCACCGAAATAGTTCAGAGAAAACAAAGTGGAACCACCTTCAACTTGGGTTTGCACAAATGTTGGCGGCAATACCTAGAACACAAAAAGAAATAAACTATACTACACAATGAAATTTAAACAACTCATAAACAGTAACAGAAGAAAAATTAGCAAGTTAACCTAATCTAACAACATTGTCACTCGATGTGTGATCCGACATTTCAGTCCTACAAAAGGTCAGTCATGAGTCGCTGAGTGGGGCGTCGGTGGTATAGCGGTTAGGACACTCGCCGACCATACACATGGTTCGGGGTTCGATCCCCGGCCGACGCACTCCTTTACCTCGCCAAGCCAATAAGTAAAACTGGTAAAGAGGAAGGGTTGGGCTTGAGGCTAACAACCCTATCCTGTACAATTAAACACTGCTACAGAAACTTCTAGCCACTAGCTTGAAGCCCTATGTTCCACTGGGGAACGTGAGGAAAAAATTATTATTAATTATTATGAGTCGCTGAGTAACTCAGTAACATTTCTGATTGAAGCATTGGTTGACACGAGTTCAAATCTGTGAGGGAACACCAGTTCCTCGAAAATTACGCAGATACGCCTTGCTGACGAGTACCCACACGTACGAAGTCTAGATCCAAGAATTCCTGCCTACTGTATACAACCGTCTAACATAAATTTCATTACTCAAACGGCATACTTTAAAAGCACAAATAGGAGGCAGTTGATAACAGGAATTCAATGAGGAAAGTTGATTTCAACGCTGGCTGAAAATTCCCCATTCCTGGACAAAACTCAGTTCTATCATACACACGAAGAGCGAGTAATCCATTGTACAGATGTGAATTTATGGATAAAAGGCATATACTGAAGAACTTTCGGATGTTGAAATAATAAAAAAGATTTGTAACTCAGGTGAATGATTTGCAATTCATAGTGTTCGCTGAGCTGGTTGGTTTAGTTGCGGAGCTTTCGTCGTTTTTCCGGGCGGCATCTTCAGCGCGGTACTTAGCATAAAGCTAAATGATTTATGATGATTAATGATTCATGGAGATTTCTAAATCATTTAACTTTATGCTAAATACTGCGTTGAAGATGCTGTCCAGAAAGACGACGAAAGCTCCGCAACTAAACCAACCAGCTCAGAGAACACTATTAATTGCAAAACTTTCAGATGTGTTAAATGCATTCGAAACCAGTTAATTCATAGGCAAAAAGTGTATTATATCCTGAACCGACGTGAAGAACTTAGAAGACCTGGATTTCGCGGATGATTTATGTTTGATGTCACACAAAGTTCCCTGTAATTCTATATTTCTTGATAATATGACTCATTAATGGGGTTTAGAACCAGCTGCTGCTACCTTGACGTGGTGGTCACCGGGCTTGCATATCGCAATGACCCAACAAGCTATACTGGCTGCAACTATTGTTCCTGCAGGTCCTACCATGCCAGGAAGGCTGTTAGGATAGCGATTAGACTAAAAGCAGTTACCGGCACTGTGTAAGAACCTTTTTGTTTCACACTATGCTAAGGGCTGTGAGCCAAGTCGTACTGCTGGGGAACAGGGGTGTAACAGCAGTAAGGTGTTTCCCTCATACGACCAGCATGTCAGCTATGCTCTCTCCAGTTCGGAGAAAGGTTAGAAAAGGTCGATCCCAAAAATTGTACATCCCGACTTACCCTATGGTGGTCCATAAACGGCGGTAAGTTTACTAATACGGAACCAATCCCAGAAACCAGTTCATATAGGCCGTGTGTGACTGGTTGTTGTCCCGTGGGCTCTGCTCTGCGGTTACGCAACACTAACCCTCTTTCTGTTTTAGGTACCCGAAGAATTAATCAACTTCCACGGTGTGGGCAGCTGGGAAGTAACAACCGCCCACACACTTCCAAAAGCACAAGAAACCTTCCTGAGCATCATTCTCCTTAGAACCAGCAAACTGAGCGGGCGGTGGGGGGAGGAAGAGAATGCTTTTTTATGTCTACGAAACTCAAGATCATACATACATATACACAACACACATACCACCAAGAGTTCACGCTGAAGCACCCTGATGTGTTAGCGTTAGCATTGTTCAATAATGTTCGTACTTTCTTGACCTGAAGAAATATCCTCTGCTCACTGTTTCTATTATGCTTTTCTTGTACTTTCTTCTCTTGCTTCGCGTGCTACACGGAATGTGGCGACTTGAACTCCCGCACATTTGTGCAAAGTTCTATGTCGAAAACAGACAGACAGACAGACTTAGAAGTTTATCGTGGTGGTGGTGATGATGATGGTGTTATAACCGTTTAAGGTGACTTATTTAGTGTGAAATTATTACGTGATGTTTCACTATTTTTTAAATAATAAATCTACATGTGAAAAGAAAGAAGAGGTCATTATGAAGAAGGGTAATTCAAAATAATAAAAGAAAAAACAAAAAGGAGTAATTTGAACTCACTTCAACATAACCACGATCAGTATAATGTGCACGAAAGGCTGATAAAGCAATACCGACTAGTCTGAGCATTTTTGCAGTCTGAAATAAATACACATAGACAGAAGTTACTAATTTTTTTTTAATTATTACCACATAAGAAAGAAGTGGGGCTAGAATTATGCACATACTCAGAGTGAGACAGACGACTCACAGATGGAATGAGATGCTCCATTGATTGATGATGCAAGACAAATCAAAAATTTGCTAGACTGCAACATCGACCATTTTTACAAAAGATACCAGTGTACAGTACATAGTGAAAAAAAGAGTAGTAGCTAATTATGAATAAGGAAACTGAGTGTCAGTTGACAGCATTCATGAATTTCTCCGTATAAATATGTACACATTTCCTTCTGTAAATTATGATATTTATTATGCATACTCGCTATATGACTCACAATGAGAACAATATTTTTTACAACCTCAGTAGAATTGTAATAAAGCACACTACCGATGTTTTATAGCCTACTGGAAATCTCTGGTTCAAGGAAGACAGAATGTACAAGTTGTTTTGAGCTCACACAGTACCAGTATTCAGATGTAAGAGTGAGTCACTTATCCATAGAACATGAGACTGAATATATACACGCAGAACTCAAAACATGTATTCCTTGATATGAATTTAAATCAAGCCATAAAGGTTAATAAAGCAGGATGATTTAATGAATTCATCAAGTTTCGGTGGAACTCGTCACCTCAATACTCTTCATACACGGATATATATACTTTTAAAATTACATTGGTAGATATATAAGACTGATGGACAAATAAACTACATTGAATTGGTCATGCAGAAAGACAGGTGCGAATGTTCTTTAGGTCATATTCAAATAGATAAGGGGAGAGAGAGTATGAGAGATTAAAATTAAGATAAAATCCACTACTCTGCAACTACATCACTTAGATAAACAATTAGTCATTAGAGCACATAACAATAATCTATAATAATGTACATGAAGATCTATAAATATGTGTTGATTTCCATGGCAAACGATGTTTCCTGACCCTTGTCTTCTGTTGTTACACTATTAGTACATACCTACCGAATAGTCCCAAAGCACAAAAGCTGCCCAGTACTACCTAGGCGTCGGTTAGTGACGAAATCTAACTTGAAATCATTGCCGATTTATGAAACACGTGCTTAACTAATTATTGGGATTTTTTTCAACAAAAAGGGGAAAAAAGAAAACCGCACTTAAAAATTGAACATCTATGGAAAATTTTAAAAAAAAACACCAACTTGGGTTCACTTACATTTTCGCCTCGAATAACTAAATGTCTATTGTCCAACTGTGTATCAATATCACTCTCCACTGTCAGTACAGAGTCAACGCCACCAGCTGGTGCCTTGCCAATCACTGACCAATAATCAGCTAGCAGCTCAATACCTCCAGGAGCTGATTTACCAGCTGGTAATTGTTTTATTGTTCCATAAATTTCGATAGTTGATTCAGGGGATAGTGTAACTGCATCTTGAGTTAAACACTGAAGAGGAATAATACGAAATAAATAGGCAAAGAAAATATGATGCATAACACATTTAGAGGGAACTATCCAAATGATGAAAATTAAAAAACAACTCGAGTGTTTCATCCTTTTTTTGAGAAGTCTATCAAGTTCAGTAGGCCGAAAATTCGACCGAGTTACAGAGTTTCTTGGACTTCATATGACAACGAAGATTAAGCATAGAGAAGGCTTATATGAGATTACATAACCCTACAAACCAACACTTGAATATGAATGAGATGCTCCCCAGAGACTTGCTTTATTCAGGTAGGTAGTTACCTGAGGTTCTAGTGAGAAGTTGTAACCAGTAGGGTGCAGCAGGTCAGCTGTGAGGACAAGCACTCGCCGAATACATTGGCTAGAGGTTGCGCTATGTCGCAAATTGACAGCAGTTAGAATTCATGAACCACTGGATCGGGTCTCAGTGGCTTAATGGTCTACAAACTCGTTTGCCTTGTAACCAAAAAGTCCTGGGTTCGAACCCCGCGGTGTGGATGCGTTCTGCTAAAGAGTCTCAAAACTAGGACGAGACAGTTGTCCAGTACTCTCTGACTGATTTTCTGATGGTTCTCTAACTAATGTCAGCCCATGATGAAATCCTGTAACCAATCAAATCCCTAAAAACCAACACTTGAATACCATGATTGTTGATCTTTGTACTTATTGTTGTTGTTATTTCAATGACTGTAGCTATGTATACCAACCACTTAGTCATGCTGAATTAGTCATTCTTTTCTCTAATGTTTTGTTAAGTCATAATGCCTGTATAGAGACTATTATCGCAAGAAAACAATACAGTTCCAATACATGCATCCGTTCATAGGACTTCAATATGAGAAATCCACTGAATTCCTTATGGTAGTAATAAAATTAGAAAGGCATACAAATCAGTGACAGATTGCATAAGGCATGCAATAACCATAAATGTTTATTCCTATACATTTATCAGAGTTGAAGCCCCAATCACAACCAAGACCACTGTCATCTTTCTTTAGACACCTAGGTTACTGTACCATTCACACGACTTGATTTACAAATTTAGTGTATTGTTTTCCATTCCTCATGTTCGACGTACAATACAAGTCTGTAGACTTGAAGTTTCAGTAAAGACGCTGTCTTCACAGGATGGAGTTTTTCTAACCTCATATTCAACCTTACCTTGTACCCGAAATTACAACTAGCTAGTAAACTAGAGGATGTTCTGAGAGTGCGTCGGCCAGGAATCGAATTCTGAACCACTAAACCACGGATCTTATTTTGTATGCTAATTGCGGTGAAATTCGATACTCAAAAGGGGAAGAAATCAAACAGACAGCAGAGAAAGTACATAGTATCTACACACTTATGCGAATAGAAATACAAAATATTAAATGCTTACCAAATTGTTTGCGAAAACACATTGTAAAAATCCTGTACCATCACGAAGAATAATAAACATTAAGGTTTTACTCTGACGACGTATTCGATGCACCCAACCATACACATGAACACGCTTATCATATAGAGTTTGTAATTCTCGAATTTTACACTGTTGTGCTTTAGGTAGTGTTGCATCCAATGTAAGCTGAACTTCCATAGCTTCACTGAGATGGTTGCTAACATCTTTATTCTCAGATGACTGTAAGAAAAATGTGGAAAAATGTGGGTAAATTAAAGATAAATTCGGAGCGACATAAATTATCTTTGCTGAGTGCCTAATATGTTTATTGATGGTGGTAATGAAAAAATAATTACACGTGTCAGGAACAACCAATCACGTCCTAAGTTAGTCACCAGGAGAGATGATTAACAAACTTATCAGGAATATCAGCTCATTGCATATTGAAGTTTGCGCTGAAAAGGCTGTCTGTCAAGACGAATGACAGCTGAGCGAATAAGCCATTCAGTGCAGAGAATACAACTACACTAATCTGTCTGTCTCTGTCTGGATTCAACATAGAACTTGGCACCCAAGTGCAGCAGTTCGAGTTGCCACCTTCCAAATAGCACACAAAGATAAGCAAGAAGATGAGTGAAGAGAATCAATAGTTTGACAAATATAAGAGTGAAACAGAATGGGTAATGGTAGAGAGGAATATGAAAGATTACAGAGACTGAATACATCTCCGCTGGCCATTGACAACGACTTTGAGCCATGTCACATATTGTCTCCAGCCATTGATTCCTAGAGTCCCGAGGGCCCCAACCCGGGAGTCTGCATCTCCCTACCTGACCGATTCAGTTTAACTGTCAAGGATTTCATGGATTGACGCCACACTACACTAATAGCATTCATAGGAGCTACAAATCTTCACCATTTCTGTATTCGCTTTTACCAACTTTTTACAAGTACTTAGCACCTTGATCCTACGAAAGGTGTTTCACGCAAATGCCACAAAGTAATACATAGAATTGGTGTAACATTATTAGAGAAGTAACAATCTGATCAATACTATAATAGAAGTACTTAGACAATTAAAACTACCAAATTATTTATGTAATCCATAACGACTCACTGGTTTATCATGTTGCCCCTTCTCCTGTTTTCTTGCTTGTGCACTGTATGTCTTCATTACTTTCTTCAGTTTAGTTTTTGACACAACATCCCATGCCTCATCGCCAACACCGTCAACCCAGATACGTGTATCTGCATTAACTTTACCATCTAACTTGATTAAGGCTTGTAGAACAGTTTTCAGTGGAGCCTTTTCTGTTCCATCTCCAGTTGTATCACAACCATGCTTTTCAGAAGTATAAATTTGCATTTTGGAAGTATTAGAGCTGTTTTCAACAACAAGAAAACGAAATATCAATTAAAAACGTATACAGTGATGTCTATTCGATTAACCCAAGTTGAAAAAATATGAGAGCACAAGAAAATCGTTCTTCGGTAAACACTACGACCAAGACAAAAATTCACCAGAGAAAAGGTTCGCGATTGAAATAAGAGACAGGATGTTGTGAAGAATTGTTTAAAGAGAACCAATCATAGTACGCAGCTGTCTATGTGTGATATCGACCTCTACATCTTTTGTCGTTACCAGAAGTAATCCGAAACAGACTGATGTTAGTGGATGACCACCAGCAACATTTATAGGTGATAGGTCGATTGCTGGTCACATTATGCAAAATACAATTATTCCTGGTTAGTCTAAAGCATTCTGCTACTATATTAGAGTCAGTAGGCTTCGCGACATTTTTTCCTATAGAGACATCAACACAAAAAGTCTTCGAAGAACTCCGACAAACAATTGGGGAACATTTGGAATTTTTGTCACCTCTAATGCAAACAGTTGCTGAAGTGAATCTTGTGAAATGAGAATGACTAGTCAAATATGTTGTTTAGTCATCCTAGTCCTATCATAAATACTGAGGTTACTATTGGCCCCCTCAAACTTTACCCGACAAAAACGCGGGAGACATATGAAGTAACCTACTAAAGATTGAATAGCTAAGCAGGAACTACCAGTTTCATCTTATAATAAGGCCTTCATTATTAGTACAAGGATACTACCAGAACAAGGGCAACTCTAAAAACCCTGTAGCTTCTCAAAGGAAAATCTATATCAAATTTACAGATAACGTAAATAGCTATTGGGTAAATAAATGATAATAATTAGGTTGAAGGTATCCACACATTTATTTAACCTATCTTAAAACTATCAACCCTTACATTTATTTCAGTGTTTTTACTATTACAATTAAATCCTTCACAATTTTCCTAAATTTGTAATCTACGACCATTCATAGCAATTTGTCTCTGAGATCAAGTTTCTAGAAGACAAATCTCATATTAAATATTGGAATAGCCCTGTACTAATTATTATATGGAACATTTCAATACAGTAGTAGCATTAATTCCCATATTTGTTTGCGTATTGGATAGAACAAACAGTGAAATTAGTATGTTAGAAACCTACTTTAGGAAAGTGGTTCACACAGTTTCTGTTTTGGTGACTAACAAATTTCATGCGACAAACGGCACTACTTGACTAGATCTAGATGGCGCCCTATTGAGACCCAGTACACTTTTCATAGTTGAGGTTTTAACTTCCCGTTTGAATGGAAATTACCGAACCACAGAGCCTATATATTAGTATTAATTCAGCAGTTATTTTAATTCCTTGAAATTATAATCCATAGAGAAACACCTAATTCGTTACTTCTGTACTTAGTGTCACACTTAAATCACTTATGAAAACCAGCATTCCGAAGTTTACTTCATTATGTTCAAATTAGGACCCTATATATCAGACACGCAAAGACCTCTGACACTTTTGTGCCCAAGTGTCTTGGTGAGTAGAGAACGATAAAAAAACTCTAAATCACGTGAAATCTATAGAAGTGATGAATTCTGTTGCAAATGGATAGACATACACAAAAGAAATCAGCACATGCTCACCTGGAAACTCGTATTTGGCTGAATAATTGTCAAGTCTGATGTTCAACTTTCAATGCAATGTAACTATTGTGAAGGCATCAAAATGACTCTAGGCTTTTACTTAAAGTAACTTGAGCATATTGTTTACGTAGTAAATTCTCATTCATTAAGAAATTAATCTCTTCATTTGTGCAACGAATAGCAAGCAAGATGCCCACGATTATCTCATTTAGGTAACCTTACTGTGTAGTTTGATACATCTTATACAGGCACGGGAATCTGCGTGCATACTCACACAGTCCCTAGGTTAGCCATTGCCGGTTAGATAAGCTAGCGAACATTTCCCACAAATTATCTATTTATTATATACTCCACCGTTCACAACAGATTTGTGGTAACTCACTCGTTAAAATGTCTGTCTTCCATATGAGTAACTCTAGATCTCCGAAAATACGTATTGAGCTGTAGGGCTAGGACCAATCGAGAAACAACAACACTGCCAGTTAGCAAGTCATAGTGATGATATTTTAAGTATATGAATTAGGATGACTAGAAATAGTAAGAATTAAGCTTGGCATGGGGTGGAGTGTGAAGTCTAAGGGATTTAAAGTTACCACAGGGAATTTCACTCAACCAATGTAAAACTAAAATTTCGCTAGACTTTTCCTAAAGTATTCCCTGAAAATCAACTGTGATCACTCATTCAATACCTCGCATATAAATGCTAAGTACCACCCTATCCTCAGAATTCCATTTAATTGGTACAGTATCACAACAGTTAAACATAAACGATTCAGCTTAATATAAGAATAAAACTTGTGCACTAAGGTAGAGTATAATTCCATTATGAGTAAATTTTTGCTTTGATAAAGTCTCACAGTTTTATACAGTAATGTTTACTGATGACGTTTCGAGCACAATTTATTGCTCATATCTTAACCTTATTCATTATTGTCTCTACAGGCTTCTTAATTTCCTTATTTCGACCCCTTTGAATATGTTCAGTAACTTTTTCGATACAGTCAGATTTATCTAAAACTACGGTGGCGTTTCCTTTGTCAGCTTTTGCGATGACAATATTTTTATCCTGTTTCAGACTAATTAAAGCTTCTCTCTCCGATTTTGTTAAGTTTGATTTTGCCTATTTTTCATTTTTCAGAGTTAATGCACATTTTGCTCTAACCTCTTCTGCTGTCGTCTTATCTATTGAGCTTGGTGCTACTTCTATGTTAGGAATGACATCCTCTGATTTTAGTTTATTAACTGTCACGTTGAAATTTAGTCCTTTCTCAAGTACTTTTATCTCACTAGAGCTTAGTTCCCTTGGCGATGAGAGGTTGATCACCCAGTTTGTTCTGTCGATAGAGGATGAAGTGTTGACATCAATTTCATTTGTTGTGTTCTTTTCGTCAATTAGTTTGTTGAATTTTTTTATTTGTGTGATTTTTGATTTTCTTAAGGCTGATTTTTTAGCTTTTTTGGATGTTTCAACAACAGTTGTATAGTCTTTGTCATTGACCATACATTTGAGTTTCTGTTTGAGTTTTCAATTTCATTTCGTATATTATTTAGTTTCACGGTAATTCTTCGCTTAGACATAATCTACTGAGATGTTCGGCTGTTGATGTAATTTTTCTTGAAGTAATTGGGGTATGTATGCGTAAATATTTTGGAATAATATGATTTTTTAAACATCGGTGGTTAAAAATCCGATGATTTGTGAAAATCGGTTTTACCTGTTGTGACGGTTTCGTAATTCCTTAGACAAATATTATTTTCGAGACATCGAAACAAGAGAAAAGACCATGTGAAGGGGAAGTAGCAGCTTGTAGGCAGTTGTGAGTATTGGTGAAAATAACGGAGGAGAAAGAGGACAGTGGTCGAAGATTTGTTTTTCACTGTCATCGTCAAAGACGAATAATAAAAAGCATCACTATGTTGAGTTAAATATTGTGATGACGAACATCGCTGAGTATTCATACAGCGCTGCAATGGATTCTGTGGGTCAGCTGAAATTTTTACTAAGTAGTTGCGAAGTCACCACAACTAACTCGTATGTGACATGGTCAATGTCACTTTCACCACACTTGCATATACCCAGAGGGATAAAGGACGACATTTATTTTTCTTTACTCTCATTTTACCTCCTCTAACAATGTCTCAACAGACCCATGGATTTAACTTTAAAACATAATAATGATCGCCGAAAGTGACGAATTTTGAGTTGTGTGCGCTTAAGTACTTGGCATCATAGATTTGGAAAACGGAGATGGCTGGCATTTTTCACTACACTTTTAGCGGATTTGTGCTATGTAGATTTTGTTATCTGCCATACCATAACTCGACTTACATATTCTAAATTGTAAATGAAGAAGGACGAAATGATGTGACGTGTGCTACATAAATGAAGACTGACAGGAAGCTGCCAGAAATTGAAATCAACATCTTAAGTCGGTGGCTGCAGGGGTGGGAGTTTTTATTCCCCAAATTCTCCTTAAGTTTCCGTCTTGATCTGCAGTTTCAGTGGAAATGTCGTCGCTTTGTGTAACCGCTAACCAATCAGAATAGTTTGTGATCCGTTGGCGCGGTCAACTTTTAAGGTGCTTGAAATGTATGAACGTGGTGCACTTTTCCTCGATAAAAAGCCGTAATATCAATTCTTTCATCTTCTGCCATCACGTTTAGTGTCATCGCCTTCATATAACGAGGATCCCATGACCTGTTTTTAAAAAAGGCTTCCTATAGGACTTCGACGCTACCCCTAAGCTGGTAAGCCCCGGGATCCTATGGCTAATATGGTCCTGCTGGAGGTGCTGCTGAGAGATCGGACAAAGGTAGAGTGCGACGGTGGGTGGTAAGAAATCAGTGGAGACGTTTGTGGAACGACTGGCCACGTTGTCTGAAAGCCCAACGGACAGGCAGCCGGAAATGCGGCAGTTTCGTGCTATGAAGCTGGGGTTGGACAGAGACCTGCTTGTACTGGCGGTTAAACTGTCAGCTGTACTTTGTTGTGCATTTCCCACACATGGTGGAGAGTCTGAGACGCAGCTAGTGGCCTCTGAGTCCGCCAAAAGTTTCCTAGAACACACTGCTTAGCAATTACGAATGGCCAACGGTGCACAACCTATGCAGATTGGTGAGTTCACGAAGGTAACAAGGCAGATACTGAGCACAACGGTAGCCGCAATATGGCCTCCAACATCTGACCAGAGGGAACAGAAAATCAAGGGCACGCAGTTTGAAGTGGCGCAGCTACGAATGAGTGTAACAATAGATCGATTCTTTTAATCTGATACACCAGAGCACTGGAGGGGACACTTCCTAGAAGGACACAGAAGAAACATTTTCGGACAATATGCTGAGTAATCTTTCCAATGAGACAAGTTGTAGGAGCAACAGAGGGGGAGGCTATGTATCATGAGTTGCGAGCTAATGGCAAAGAATTCATATGTCAAATAGACGAAGGGCGGTGGTCTCTCTAATAAGAAACTGAATGCATCAGAGCGTTAGAAAGTGTTCATTGGTAGTTCAGATGGTAGATACACACATGCTAAAAATAGCAGTCATGTAAAATTGCAGCGTTCATATTCAAAGTCGCAGAGTAACCTTTACGTTCACTCTTGTACCCCACTTATGGCGAACAACACTTGGGGCTTATTTTCCACTGTGAGTTAGTGCCGTAATCGACACGGAGGAAGGGTCTGAGGTCACAAAGTATCCGCTAGCTTGTATGGGAACAGTGGGACAGAAAGTCGGAGTCATCATGACTGCCGAATACAACAACACTAGTTGAAGAATATGATAATCTTTTTACAGGAGATGGAGACTCTTACCGTTATTCTAACGAAATGAGGCATGAAATCCCTTATCAACTCCCTTAATTTCTGCCTTTACAGTGGCATGTCTTTGTCAGTATATGTATAACAAATGTACCGGTAATGGAAGCGACATGTCTGCTTGACCGAGATCAGTACCATGCTTGGTACACTGCTGGAAACCTAGATCCATATGGCTGAGTTAGTCTGAGGCTTGGCAATTTACTGTGTAGGAGACACTGTAGAGGGCCGAATACTTCGTCAACTCACTTATACCTCAGCCGTCTCGCTTTCAATGATCAAATGGTTTATCTGTGCCAACTGAATCACATCGCGGAAATTAGATTTTCAAAGGATATGGGCGCGGCCGTTGCACTGTATTATTATTGTGTATCCCCACATTCTCTTAGTACTGCTGTTGATAAATACAACCTTGAACAACTCTCATATTATCCCTTTGATAGTTAAACTGACGTTAATGACTCCCGGTTGGGTAGGTCAGGCCAAAGAATCAGCAGGTATTGTGGTCTAAGCCTAAACCCAACAGGATAGAAGGTCACACAACAATTGTGAGCCTTGCTTCTAGCTAGTACCAAAGGGAGATTAGCTTGAAATCTTTCAAGCAGCATGACTAACTATCTTCCTAGATTACCGAAATTGCAAATTCTAAGCGCTTCAAGGGAAGTAGCTCATCCTTTTGACTGGTACTCAAGAGTGGTTTCCACACACGACAGACAATAATACATTGATCTCAGTATCTCAGAAGTCCAGAATGCATAGACTGCGTCTCTTGAATGCAGAGCATACAAGTACCCGTGAAAGTCCTGCAAAACTTTCAAATCTCGAATTCTCAAAAAGCATCTGATGTCCACGACTTCTAATGTACATTATTACAAAGGGAAAGATTATAGACCTTCTCTTGGAATTATACTACAAAAAAATGGGAAATCGAGTGGTGAAGATATTAGACATCGAAGATCACTCAGTTCATAACGGACACCTGGACAAAGTGACAATAAATGAAGTAGGTCGTTCCAATTATAATATTATTGATTCCGCTAATAATCCTGATTTTGTAGATAATTCGGAAATAAGTCCAGATAATACTGATGAAAATAATATCACAGAATCAGTTAGGTCGAAGCTACTTGCAAGCAAACCGAGACATCGTTATATATACGCAAGGAGATATTCGACGTGTGGCAGATGTGGTGACTGACAATTTCTATCTCTGTATTGTTTAAATACTTACTGTTGA